GCACGGTTCTCAGGCTCAAGCGTTCCATCCTCTGCCTCACCATCTCTCTCATACACATCCCCACTCTCCTCCCCCACCAAGTGACCTACATGTCTGCTCTCACCCTTGGAATGAGAAGGTGTCCTCCTTCTAGTTCACACTGGACAACTGCCTAATTCTGAAGGCATGAAATACACAAGAAAAAACTCTGTTTGGCAAAATGGCTTTTGACTCACACAGGACTCTCAGAAAGGGGCAAGTATGTGTCCGAAGATCCCACAGACTAAACTATTTATCACTGTCATCCAAACCAATAAAAACTACAGAACTCACAATTCTCTCCCCTAAAGGAAACATTCTGTATTTGGGCAGAAGACAATATATGGGTTGAGAGATCCTCAATTTTTAAGAGAAAAACAAAGGAAAGGTAAATAAGCGACTGCTACAAATGGTCCAAACCCCAGTCAAATTTAAGTATATATTTTCCCCATGCTTAAAACATCAGTGAGAAAAACATAAATCTGTTGATTTAACAAAGGCCTTAAAGAAGGAGTTAATCTCAGTTAAATCGATGAACCATTATCTCACATGAACAGCCATAATACAGGTCATAATACACAAACAGACAAAAGAAATTTTTTTAACCTAGCTAATAATCAACAGATATAATGAGAAACCATTTTGTAACCATTAAATTAGTTTTCTTTTAAAAAGCTTTCAGATGCTAATCCTCACTAGTGGCACCCTTACAGTGATACTGGAACACATACCCCCATACATGGCTAAGAACAGAGTAGCTTAATACAGCCTTTTGAAAAAGCAAATTTACACCACCCATCAAGAATTTCCAAAATGTTTATATCCTCTGACATGTTAATGTCACCCCTGGAAATCTACCTTATAGACCACAAAATGTGTAATTATGGTAACCTTGTGTTCCAGATTTTCTAAGAAAGCCCTGACTTTATGTAATTGTATCCTTTTCAATAAATGCAAATCACTAAGAGTGGAACTACATTTGGGAACAATGAAAGTCATCAATATCATAGAAAAATGAAGAAAACTGGTTTGGCATAGGGTCAAGCACATTCATAAAAGTGTTTCAGTTTGTTTGGGATGTGGGGAGAGAAAAATTCAAGTTCAGCAAATGTTAACTTTTGCCACATAGAAACTGGCTCAATTTATTATTCCCTCAAGAGTCACTGAGCTGCTTCCACTGGGTACCAGGCCCCACGCTTGTTCTTAAGGCACAAAGACCAAACAGCAAATCTCTCCTGGATGCAACAGGCTCCCACGCACAATCCTGCAGCAGCACCCATGCATGCCATTGCCTAAGCATACCACTGCCCACACCTCACTTTCATCATCTGAGGACGGCAGGTGCGCCTGGTTAAGATCAACATCTCCACTTTCTCAAGAGAGGCTTACTTCTTAAAGGCTTCTTCTCCCTCATGCAGCAGAAAAGGGATAAGCTGAAGCTAATAAAAGCCGAGAGGAGTAACGTCTATATTTGAGAAGTAAAGGTCTTGAACAGCACCATGGGTTCAAGGATCTTAAGAACCTATGCTCAGAAATCCGATTATTTTGTCAGAGTCGTGATATAGAATCATTACCACTAACATTTCCGTTGTTACTACTGGATGGACCCTGCCCATCTATACCTCGAGACCTTTCGTAAGAAAGAGGCAGGCAAACCTCTGGAGCAGCAATTCCCAGAGTCAGAGCTGTTCGAGAACGGGATTAAAGCAAAAGACTCTCCAAAAATGCACATTCACAAATTCTCACATACAATCTCAGAGGGGCCTGAAAGCCCATTAAGCAGCAGACTGCATGTTAAAAATGTCTGCTTGAATTCAGAAGTCACAAAGAGGAATACAGTCACTGAGTCCTTTCGTGGGCAGGGAACCCTATGAAGGCAAAAATACCTCTTCCTTTTGCAAGTGAGAACTGTGACATCCAGGAAGTACAGTCATCTAATAAGAATGTAAAATGACCCCCCAAAAATCCCAACTATTTCAGGGTTTAGAAAGAAGCTGGGGGTGGGGGATAAAGACAGCCACAAGCATTAGAAACATCTTTCTTAAAGTGTTAATTAAGCTTTTAGAAAACCACTAATTCCACATTTTTCCTTAAAAAAAAAAAAGCTTTAAAATGACTTTTGTTTAACCATCCCTCCACTTCACACAGGTGTTCACAGTATGGTTTATCTCACCACAGGTGTAGTTTGAGCCACGCTGTACGGATCTAGTGTGTTACAACTAGACCAAATAAACAACTCAGGATCAGAGGAAGTGTACAAGACAAAGAGCTGTCGAACTCAGTGGTGTGGTCTCTGGGTCTGCACAGGACATCAAAGAGTATGCAGTCAGGAAAAGCCTTCTGGTGAGTTTTCGAAATTCTTTTTCGTTGAATACAGAAACTCTAAGACACATTCTCTTTCTTTAGCCTATTATAAATGAGTTATGTTTCAAAGGTTTTATCTAGCAAGGTGATAGCATGGAAATCATAAACCATGTCCCCAAAGATATAATGTTAAAAAACCATGGTAGTGACCTAGGCTGACTCATGAACCACCCATGGAGGTTCTGAGGGAACCCCCAGACCTGGCATTCTATGCACTGTTCGAGTTCATAGCACCCACTTTCTTCTGAAATGTGGAATCTGAATAGTCGTCTTATCTTTTGAGGTAAATTCTCTATAAAACCTAGGAGAGATGGAAAGTTCTGGAGACCGAGGCAAACCTTAAAAAGAACTAGGAACCTTTTTCTTGTTATGATCATCTTGAACCATTAGGTACTTTTTGTGTGGTAAACCCAACGAGTGGGGGAATCTCTTTTAAATCAACCTTTCTGCTTCCTCCAATATACAAAGAATATGATTTTTTTTTAAAAACTGTATAAATAGAAAGAAAAGAACTTCTTCCTCATGTTTATGTGTGGTCAGCAGAATAATGGCCCCTAGAGATGGCCCTGTCCCAATCCCAGAACCTGGAAACATGTCGCCCCTACATGGCAAAAAGGGGATTACCATTGTAGAACTAAGGCTGCTGATCCTTATTCAGGTGGGTCCAATGGCATCACAGAGCCCTAACTAGAAGAGGCAGAAGTCAGAGAGAACTGAGAAGATGCTACCTGCTAGCTTTGAAGATGGAAGGCGGCCAGCAGCCAAGGAACGTGGGCAGTCTCTAGAAGCTGGAAGAGTCAAGGAAACGGACGTTCCTGTTAGGACCTCCAGAAAGGAACACAGCCCAGTAAACACCTTGATTTTAGCTTAGTGAGATCAAATTTGGACTTCCGACCTCCAGAACTGTAAGATAATAAGTTTATGTTGTTTGTGCCAATCCAGCCACCACAGGAAAGAAATACACCCTGCTTCCATTCACCCTTTCTGGGCACGAATTCATGCCATGCCTGGTAGCAAAGCAGTCATTGTGTTAAAAGCAACCAGACCAACAGCTTCCTGCCTCGAGCAGTGGGTAGAACACCAGGAGAGGGCACGAAGAAAGCCTGGATTAAACAGCAAGAGATGGTACAGCAGCATGCAAAGCTGGAGAAGGCTTCTCCTAGGTGGGCAGAAAGAGAGAGGCCTAAGGGGGGGCGAAAAGTCCTTTGGGATCAATCCATGGGTGTGTGTTGTTGTTGTTGTTGTTGTTTTCAGTCACAGAGGAAAAGCACACACTGCTTTTATTTGGAAGGTAACCGCGGGACATCTGATGGATACCCATCCCACGTGCTCTGGATTTTAGGCCACAAGTGTCGGCCTTTCCCCTGTCTGCCACTGTGGGTCATAAACCCACCTATTGCGGTCAGCGGTTCCTCAATGACTTACTCGTAAATAAACAGAAGAGTAACAAGGTGCTTCACCTTTCACATTTTAACATACTCCACAACAAAGCTTGCTCCCTCAGAGCTTAAGAAACAAACATCGCCTGTGTCACTTAGTCAAGAAAGCGGATTCGCTTCCACTAAGCCACACAAGCATTTCAAACTGCTGTCTGTACTCTGCTTACCAAACCACAAAACTTCACCACTTTGTTCTATCTGCCATTCTTTCATCTCTCGGGATTAAAACGTTAAATAAATTAACTAAGGCATTCCACATAGCCTTCCGCCACCCTGACAATCTGAAGCCATTTGACAGACGAATGCCCTGCAGATGGCCAGCAGTTCCCAGGTGAGGTCAGCAGGAGGCTTTGGAAATGGGTAGTTCTGTCAAGTTTTCGCTGTCGGTGTGGCGTGAGGGCTGTGCCGCGTCTCTGGGCACGGATGAGAAGGCAAACTTGGGTTTCTCGGCGCCCCTCGGGCTCGACCCGCAAGCGTTGGGGGCCCGGCAGCCCCGTTTTCGCGGAGCGGCGGTCAGCCTCGGACCCTCGGGTGGCCGGCGGCCGGAGGTCCCGGCCCCGACGGCACCCTCAGGTGGCGCCTGTCCACTCGGGGTTCGCTGCCCGTGTTTTCTCATTTTCGTTTCAGAACAAAGACATGGACCGGGGCACATAACTTGCCAGCACGGAAGGAACTGGAAACTACGGAGAACGCCCGGGGGAACTTGAGCGTTCGCGGGGGGCTCCCCCGCGGGGCTGCGGGAGAAGCCGGGCCTGCCCGGAACAGCGACCCGAGACCCCCGCCCCGAGACCCTCCTGTCCTCGCGAACCCCGCCCTAAACCCTGGCCTCGAGACAGACGCTCACTCCGGAGGACTTCCGCCCCGGAGACTCAGGCCCCAAGACCCCAGTCCCACGACTCCGGCCCCAGAGACCCGAGTCCGGCGGCCCCCAGAGCCGGCCCCCGAGACCCGGGCACCCCGACGTCGGCCCCTCAACGCCCCTCAGCCCTTAACACTCCGGGCCCCAGGTGCCCGCTGCCCTGAGGAGGCCCCCGCCTCACCCGGCCGCCCTCGGCTCGCGTCCGGCACCACAGTCCCCGGGAAACGCGAGTCGCCTGAGGCGCGGCCAAGGCGCCGGGCCGGTGAAGGGAGGAAGTGAGGGAGGGGGAGTCCGCCGGCCGGGCCGAGGGCCGTACTGACCGTAGCTGTCGTCCTCGTCCATGGTGCCGGCGCCAGGCTCCGCGCCTGGGCTCGCCGCTCGCCCCAGGTCCCGCCGCTCCCAGCCCCGCTTGCCCCGCGCGTCTCAGAGCCCCGCCCCCGGCCCCGAGCCCGCCGCCCGCCGCCCGCCCCTCGGCTCCCGCGGGGCGCCCCGCCCGGCGCCTGCGTGCGCGCGCGCGCGCACACACACACAGAGCTCAGCACGCGGCCGCGTCCCGGCTCGCGCCTGCGCACGCGCGCCCGCCCAGACCCCCGCCCCCGGGCCCGCGGCCCCGCCCCGTCGCCCGCGCGCGCACCCGTGGGGCTGCGTCCTCTACCCTGCCCAGGCCTGCGTACGCGCGCCCGCCGAGGCCCCGCCCCTCCGGCTGGCCCCAGGCCCCGAGGCCCCTCCTCTGACCACGCCCCAACCCGAGGCCCCGCCTCGGCCGCCTCCGGGGGCCCAGCAGGTTTCGGATTTCCGAAGGGTGGCGCAGGCCTGGGAAACAGACCGGCGGCCAGCCGCCCACAAAGGTACCAAGGTCGTGTCCGGCCACTCAAGGGCAGGGTGGTCCTCGCTGACGTTAGTTTCGCAGGTCCGGCCAGCCCTTGGCCGAAGACCAGATATTTTGAGTTCATTATTTCTGCAGTCTGAACCTTAGCACCGTGAATGTCATGAGTTCACTGCCTTTACATACTTCCTTTTCTTTGTCTTCTGAATTTACCCCGATCAAATTTCAAAGAGAGGTACCTCAGCCTCACAGCGTGTCAGGATTTTGGTGACCTTGATTCTTGCAACTGTTAGATTCATACGTTTCTAGGCTGTGCCTTACATGTTTTATTTGCCTGCACTGGGCCAATGGACCGTACCTACCCACTGGTTAAACTGAGCTGCCCTTTGAGGAGCCTGGGCAGTAGCTCTGCAAGTGGAGGCTGGGACATCACCAATTTTTAACTTAGAAAAATAAAGGAAAATGCTGCTTTTCTAGTCGTTCCTGGATGGACATGCTCTTTCTTGGTTTGGTGTTACACATAAAAATTATGAGTGTGTCATTTGGAAGGATCACGCAGGGATGGTCCAGGACCCTCCTGGGGGGCATGACTCTGGACCCCCTAGCACAATGTGCTGTACCGGGGGTGCTGCGGGAGAAGAGCTCAGCCCAAGGTCCTGGCAATGCCCCTGAAAGGTCAGGGAATATCTCCATCAAGGGGAGTTGTGACTGTCCTCAGCAGTCTGTTTCCTTACAGGCCGTTCCAAAACATGCCTCCCAAGAGACAACGAAGAAAAGTCCCTTTCCTCTCATGGAAAAGGAGTAAATGAATGAGGAAACTCTAGGTTTTCTTTCCACATCTGCTTCCTATTAGCCCTGTGATCTGGGCAAATACCTCACCCCCCTGGACCTGTCTCACACTGGTGAAATGGAGCGTCTGCCTATAAAATCCAGGCTCCTGCCCAGTATTGATCTCTGATCTTTTGCTCTCTTCTACTTGACTTCAGCACAGCTGACAATGTTTTTGTTAGATGAGACGGATTCCAACATTATCAGTCTAAGGGATCCTAATCTTCACATTCTGTCAGGGCGCAGCTCTGGCCCACCCTTCTGGTGGCTAAGAAAATTGTGCATTCACAAACAAAAATATCCATGTTACTCCCTGAGCTGTCTGACCCAGGCTTTGATGGTGAAGCTTGATGTCTCCTGTACGTCCAAGAAGATGGGCTTTATTTCCTTAGGCAAGGTTTTCTTTCCAATGGCTCCAGAAATCAGACACTTCCCTCATAGAGATTATCAGCCATAAAAGGTTGATTCTGGGGACTTCCCTGGCAGTCTGGTGGCTAAGACTCTGCACTCCCAATGCAGGGGACCCCGGTTCGGTCCCTGGTCGGGGAACTAGATCCCACATGTCGCGATGAAGAGCAAAGATTCCATAAGCTGCAACTAAGACCCTGCACAGCCAAACAAATAAATGTTAAAAAAAAAAAAAAAAGGTTGATTCTGGTGGACCTAGGAGTTTAATCTTCACTGATTTTACATAACTCTTGCTCGATGACCAAAACGTGGGCAGAAAAGCAACTGAGGCCACAGGTTAATTCTCCCTGTGATCTAAACTCCCAAACTTTTGGATGGGAAGGGCATGAATGCTAATCACTTCGATTAGCCTGGTTTTTGACTGTAAACAAATTCGCTTAACTTACATTGTTTCAATACAACAGTGTTTTCCAATGGCAGGTCCTGACCCTGAATGGTTGAAAAACCAATCTCCACTGAAGGAAGAGAAGATGGAATAAAAGAGTATCAGCGTCCACCTGGTACCTAAGGATAATGTTTGTTTTGGTTGTAAGTGAATGCACTGGGTAGGGATGTAAAATGTACTTGACAACATGTGCGTGCTCAGTCGTGTCCAACTCTTCGTAGCTCCATGGACTATAGCCACCAGGCTCCTGTGTCCATGGAGTTTTCGAGGCAAGATACTGGAGCAGGTTGCCATTTCCTATTCCAGGCGATTTTCCCTGACCCAGCAATGGAACCCAGGTCTCTTGGATCTCTCGCATTGATAGATTCTTTACCACTAGCGTCACCTGGGAATCCCTACTTGACCGCTGGTGACTGTCAAAGATCCTCTGTTAGCTCACATTCCTGGCTCAGGGGCTGGGGGTGTCAGGGGGTTGGGGGTGTGTGGCATTGTTGAGCTGTTATCTCCATACTGCAGATTTGGGAACTGAGGCCCACAGAGGTCACAGTATAAAATGGGAGCCAGCAGATCAGCTTCTCTTACTACTTATGTCCTCAGCTCCAGGGGACCTCAGAGGGAGACCTCAGAGCGAGAGCCTCAAAGGGAGGATGGAACCGAGATGCCGAGAGGGCCCAGCGTCTGGAATCCGTCTGCTGCTTCCCCTGACCCACCCCCTGCCCACATCAAGAACTTTGAAAATGGGCCGGGGCTCCCTGCAGGCCTGTCACTGTGGTCTGTTCTCCTTAGTGGGTTGATCCGCCTGACAACTTTTTTAAGTTGACGCCTCCCTTCCGAAGTCCTTGCCTTACATAATAGTCTCAAAAGTTAGAATAATGAGGGACTTCATTGGCAGTCCAGTGGTTAGGACTCCAGACTTCCACTGCAGGGGGCGAGGGTTCAATCCCTGGTTAGGGAACTAAAATCCCATATGCTGTGCTGCACGGCCAAAAAAAAATTAGGATGAAGGAAGGCTTTTGAGCAGGGGCAACCCAAAATATATCTATTCTTTTACCCCATGCTTAAACTGTGATGTTTTGAACTTTTTTAGAAACAATGTTCAAAAAGGGACAGGTTACTAGATACTGGTACTTTCATGCAAGGGAGCACCCACAGTTTTTTAAAAGACTGAATCTGATTTCTGCGTTTACCAAAGTGAGCCAGTTTCCAAGCTGTGTGAAGTGGGAAAAGCTAGGACAGAACACGGGTGTATAATGTATTTCTATTCCTAGCAAAAATGCATCTACATGTGATGTACATTTATACTGTACACTCAGCCATTCCACTTATATTCAGGACTGGGGGACAGTGCTGTGACAGGCACTGTTCAAAATACTGAGGACACAGTGACAAAGGGAACAGCTGTAAAGCCATGCCCTCTCAGGGCTCCCAAACTAGTGGACAAGCACAGACCTTGGCTAACAGGACGCACGGGGGACTGGGGGCCACCCTGCCTCTGGGAGGAAAGTCAGTTGCCAGGGAAACAGGAGTGGGAGACTCTTCATTACATACCCTTCCATACTCTTAGGGGTGGAATTGTGAGCCCAAAAAGGTATGTTAAAGCCCTAACCTCCAGTGCCTGTGAACTGTGATCTTATTTGGAAATGAGATCTTTGCAAATGTAACCAGGTTAAGGTGAGATCATAGGGTGGCCCAGATCCAATGACTGGTATCCCTCTAAGAAAGGGAGATTAGGACACAGACACACACAGAAAAGGCCATGTGAAGATGGAGGGGCCATTTGAGAGGCCAACGCCTGGCTCACCAGAAGCTGGAAGAGGCAAAGAAGGGATAGTCAGAAAAAGTGTGGTCCTGCCAACACTGATTTCAGACTTCCAGCCTCCAGATTGTGGGAGAATAAATTTCTGTTGTTTTAAGCCCTCCAGTCTGTGGGACTTTGTTGAGGTGGCCCTGGGAAACACACAGCTTTTAAATGATATACCATATACATGTATTACCTGTTTTTTTTTTTTATATTTTTATTTTTTATTGAAACAGAATTGATTTACAATGTTGTATTAGTTTTGGGTATTATACAGCAAAGTGATTCCATTTTATATACATATATATTCCTTTTCATATTTTTTACCATCATGGGTTATTATAGGATATTGAATATAGTTCCCTGTGCTACACAGTAGGGTCCTGTTTATCTATTTCATATATAGTAGTTAGTATCTATTAATTCTTAATTTATTCCTGACCCACCCCTTTCCCCTCTCTTAACCATACGTATGTCTGTCTGTTTCTGTTTTGTAAATGAGTTCATTTTTGTCATATTTTAAATTCCACATATAAGTGATATCATATTCTATTATCACCTATTTTAAATAAAACTTTTAGAGTGGACTTAGATATAAGATACCATGGCAAGGGATTTTACTGTGACCTTTCTGTTCTTCCTCATGCCCGTATTTTTTTTATCCGGTTCCTTTTTCTAAAACAAATGATTCTATTTGTTCTCTCTCTCTCTCTCTCTCTCTCTTCTCCCATCAAGGTGAATAAGGCAGAGCTGCCTTGATGGCTCAGTGGTAAAGACTCCACCTTGCAATGCAGGAGACATGGGTTCGATCCCTGATCCGGGAAGATCCTCCATGCTGAAGGGCAACTAAGCCCATGTGCTGCACTGTTGAGCTCTAGAGCTGGGGAACTGCAACTACTGAAGCCTGCATGCCCTAGAGAAGCCTGTTCTCCGCAGCAAGAGAAGCCACTGCATTGAGAAGCCTGTGCACCACAACGAGAGAGTAGCCCTTACTTGCTGCAACTAGAGAAAAGCCCACGCAGCAACAAAAACCCAGT